AAGGTGGTGCGGCAGCGGAAGCCGGAAGCAAGGTGGGTGAGGATATTGGTGAGGTTGTCTAGTTTCGCCTCAAGTGCATCCATGCGCGGGTCAGCGTCCGAAGCAGCTCCGGTAGACATAGCGGGCGTAAAGACGACAAGAGCAGAGGAGGAGGGGTCAAGTGGCAGGGGCGGTGACGAGGGGGGGTACGGACTCGTACTCTGAGCCTGAGTCAGTGCCGAACCTGGCAATCTTGACCGGTTAATCCCGTAGAGAGTTTCTTCTGCTGTAAGGGCAACCCTGGAGACTCCGACGATAGCCTAGCAGGGGAGGATCCAAAGCGTGAATAAAAGCTACGGAAATACACAGAGGGACTGACCTAGCAGGGGAGGATCCAAAGAGAAGAAACTCTAAGGGTCCGCCTGCTAGGGCGCTAACTATATACTGGTCGTCCGTAACTGCTGACGTAGAGCGCAGAAGGCCTGAGCGGCGTCGCAGGCTCTGTCCCAAGGTGATTGTTGGGAGGGTCTTGACGGATCGGTGATTGTGCGGGCGAAGGAGGCCGTGGACGATGGTCGGGGTGGGTCGGAGCGTCCGAGGGGGCGCCGGTCGGATGCGCCTCGGATGCGTTCGGAGGGTCCGAAGGAGGCCGAAGCGGGGGTTCCCCTGACAAATAAAGCTAACCTTTTTCCAGCACAAAAACCCAGTGTGAAACTTATCGATACATGTTATATTTATCCACTAATTTACCCTGGGATTTCTACAAAGGAAAAATCTAAAGATAAATCTTGGATAAATCTGTACATGTATTTATAAGAAAACATTTTGCTGCTGGATAATACTGTAGAAAATCTGTAAGGGCAACCCCAGAGGCCTGAGGTCAAGGTCCTCGCAGGGGAGGATCCAAAGAGAAGAAACTCTGCTAGATAGCTGACTATACTTATACTGCTTGCCTGTAGCTGCTGTCAGGCACAGAAGGCTTGGGCAGTGTCGCAAGCCAGGTCTCAGGGCAACCACTGGGAGGGCATTGATGGACCTGTGATGGCGCGGGCTTGAGTGGGGGTCGGACTGGAATTGGAATTGTCTCTGGGGGGCCAAAAGGGAGGTTTCCCTGACACTGGCAGCCATTGGGCCAAGAACCATTTGCATATTGAATTCAGAGCTGGGCTACACAAGGGGGTTCAAGATCTGAATCACAGATATAGGGTCAGAAAGTTTTTTTCCAACCCTCTGGGGACCCCTCCTCCTGCCATATAGGGTAATATGTTCCCACGATTAGCACCATGTGTCCATTCATGTGATCAAAAAGTGGCACAAAAAATTCAATCTTTGTGAAACTTTTTTTTTCAAAAAGATTTATGTATGTGTATGTGTATGTGTATGTATATAGGGTATGTATGTACCTGGAACCCTCAAACACACATGGCAGGCCATATCAACTCTTCAATATGTTCACCTCCCATTACTGGCAATTACCTGATGATGGCCCAATGGGCCTATAACAGGGTGTCCTATCCAAGCTCATGGGCCTGAAAGTATATACTAGTAGATATAAGTATGGGGTTGTGAAACATATAAATTAGAGTGTATACACTATATTTCCAGTGTCTCTACTACACCTATATAAGGCTCAAATCTTTCATATACAAAAAGTTTTTTTTACCCTCTGGGGACCCCCCCCTCCTCCCCCCCCTCCTCCCCCCTACCCATGTGCCTGATAAAAATTTTGAACTCCTTGGGGCTACACTCCAACTAGACCTAATATACTATATATACAGATATACTAGTAGCTACCCTCATCATCTACTTATAACAACTATTAACAAGTCTACATGTCCAAAAAAAGCACCAAAGTCACGGCTGTTCGCCGGCGCCCATGGCCATCAGTTCTTCCCAGTGCATCAGCACATTTGCCCAATAGCAGTCGTTCTGCGTGTCGCTGAGCACGCGCCGCGCGACCTCAAGCCCGCGCAGCTGGATCAGCCGCGCCTCCTCTGGGTGCGCGTTAGCCCATTCGATCCTCTCCACAAGGTCTGACAGGTCCGGCAGCACGGGGACGTAGTGCTCGTACGGGCGCACCCAGTTGTTGAAGAACTCGTTGAAGATCGTGGACTGCAATCAGTCACCATCAGTTATCAGAACAGAAGGACGGGAGTACCTTGAACACGAGCGACCCGCTGAGCAGCAGGCCCCAGAAGCGCCCCGAGAACGTTGCGCCGTCGACGTCGACGACGTACTTGTACTTGTACACGTCCTCGCGTGGCGTGCGCTGGCCGGCGATGCCGTACTCCTTGATGATCGGGGCGGAATCGCAGTCGGCGTGGCAGTGGCGGTCCACCGAGCCGGGGAAGGTAGTGATTTTGGCGTCGAGCAGCTCCGGGTGCGCGGTCGACAGGTCCGCGAGGATAAAGCGTGGAAAGGAGTGGTATGTCGAGTTGTCGAGGAAGCGCCCGTTTGTGGCCCCACCGCGCCAGTCTGGGAAGTTAGCAGGGACTGAGGGAAATATAGAGCACGAACATGCTTTGTTGAGCTTATCGCCCCACTTGACGCGGTCCTGGTACGCGAAGGGCTGATACCACCATGAGTAGCTGTAATAGAACTGTTTCTGGTCAGCCCTCCACGTCCCGCATGGACTAGGCGTACCTCGGTCGGGAAGAGGATGTCGGCAAAGCACGCAGACACCTTCGCCATACTCAGGATGGGATACAGCTCGGTCGTGAAAGCGGGGTTCACCGTCGCGAGAATAACTGCTGCTGTGTTAGCCTTGAAACGAATATGATTGCCAACCTACAACCGCTCCGGTTATTGGCGCTTCGAAACATCCCCTCGTTCTCAAGCGGCACTACGCAGCCCTGCTCGGCGAACCAGCCTGCCGAGGGCGACGGCTCCAGCGAAAAGGCTTTAGATTCGGCACTTCCCGGCGTTTTCCCGCTGGTGAAGTCCCGCAGGCGCTGCCATGCCTCTGGGCTGCGGGGGTTAAACGCCACACGCGGCTCATCGCGGCCGCTCACGAGGAACGACATGTCGCCGAATATCTTGGTGAACTGGGGGGCATATGGTCATTGGTCGGGGCAATATTACAACAGACAGTGGGTGACTCACCCGAGGGAACGTGACCGGCCAGTACCCATCGTACGCAGTGTGGCCAGTGAACGACGGGCTTCCCTTCGTCACTGTCGTGTTCACAATCCAAGCGTCCCGATTTTCCGTCTGTGGAGATCAGTACCGCTTTGAGTAAGCCACAGACACACTCACCTGGCGTGCAGCCTTCTCTGCCATCCGCCGGAAGTACCCACGGTCTTCCTGCGCGATGTCGTAGAAGACTTTAAAGTCGGCGTATACCTGGTCGTACTCGTCGATGAGGCATTTCCGCTCGTGCGCGTAGGCGAACCATTTGGAGAACGACGGCGGCGGGGGCCGATTATTGCGGAGAACATATCGCGCGCGGGCCTGCGACAGCGTCGCCGACTGGCGGGCAAAGAGCGCGTCAACGCTCGCAACGGCGGTCGCCCGCAAGACGCTCTCCGAGTTGGGATCGGAGTCAGATTTGGGACTGGAACTGGAATTGGGTGGTAGCTCGGCGTCGGCTTTGTGGACAAACATAGTGGACCCCACCCCTCCCATGAGGAACCCCAACGCCCATCCACCAAGCACACACAGCGCCAGCACCCACAACGGCCGTGAAGTTGTCCGCCGCCATTCAGATGGCGGAGCTGCCTCGATGTCGTGACGGTTTAGTAGTGGGATGTCCGAGCCTTCGAGTTCTGACCCGTCCTCCTCGAATTCGCGTGTTGAAGGCAGGCTGAGGGACCACCAGAACGTCCGCATCGGGAGCAGCCGGAGAGAAGGTGAAGAAAGGAGTTTTCTGACAAGCTGCAGCAGCCAAGATATATGCACATATGCATGCAGCCATGCCCTGTTCAAGGGCGGCCTGCTGACGCCGCGCCTGAACCGGGCATCCCGGCTTGTGTAACATTCGAACCTTTCGCATGGGACAACCGGTCGGGTTCTTGCCAAACTTAGGGCGATCGCGGGCGCCCCAAACGGGCGCTCGATGCTGCGGATCGTTCAATCGCACGATCAGGCTGCGGATTGGATTCCCGGCGTCCTGCTCGGATGGACCGTCAACGCCAGTTGAAGGAAAAGTCAGCGTGTATTATATGTAGCGCAAGCTACTAGTAGCACTGCGGCGCGGGCCTGCAAACCTGCCAGGTCGTCAGACTCGGAGATGTCAGCGGGAGAAAACTTGAACTCTTAGAACCGTGCGCTGAGGCTGGCCGGCGCTGGGAAACATTGGCATCAGTACACCGGAAACCTGAATAACATCGCCGGGAAGGATTCGACCAGAACAGATGCCCATTTGACCCAATTGACTGCGGTCACCACAGTACTACTCTTCATGCGTTCCCCGTGGGCATTTGTCGGGTGCTTGTCCGGAGCGCCTCTGCTTGCCAGCATTGCACTTGCCCGCTTGAGGCGAATCCAAGGAAAGCGACATGAATCCGCAGGGGCGAGGTGGTGAAAACTGTAAAGTACTCGACGAGCTGCCGAAAGTCAGCCACAGGTTGGTTCATAGAAGTGACAAACTGGAGATGACGCCCTGCATGCAGGGCCAGCTTAAGGCAGGTCCTTATGGGAGGCGGTCAGCGTGAATCTGCGCGGTTCGGCGGGAGAAGAATTCGAAAAAAGTCGACATAGCGGCAGACATGATGGGAGAAGAGCCCGTGTTCCGAAGCCGAGGGTGTCATATGTCATGGGTGGAAGAGGATGTCTCGGGCGTGTTGTGGTCCAGGTATCGATTGCTTTTCAGCCAATGACGAACGTGTCACAAGGGGCAAGAGCAAGTAAGCATTGAAGCCTGAGTCACACGCGAACCAAGTCTTCCGTATTACAAACAACAGAGCATTCGTAGTCGTACAGGGTAAAGTAACTGGGCATAAATCATGGTAGGCAGTCGTACAAAGTGCGTAAGTAAAAGATCAAATCAATGCAGAATGAATAACGAGATTCAAGTAGTTGTCTCACATATTGGCGACACTGTTGAGCATCCCAATCCTGTTCATCCCGCCGTCGACACCAGACTCGCTCTGGACAGCGCTGCCATACTGTGACCCGCCGGTCCCAGAACCAGACGCGAGTTGGGAGATGGCGTCTGACTGGAGCTGCATGGGGACGAATATGACCTTGCTGTTCCCCGACTTGGCCATGGTTTGCACTAAGCAACTCATCAGCTATGCATGCAAGGAAAGAAACGCGCAATGACTTACGAGCTTCCAATTGTCGAATCTGCATAGCCGCTGGACTGGCCAGAATATCCGCCGCTTGCCGCATGAGTCGAGCCGAATCGACCTCCGCCCGAGCAGCAATGACCTTGCTCTCTCCCAACCTCTTCTGCTGAGCCGCGCTGCTCAAGCTGGCGGCGACCTCGGGGGAGAAGATGATGTCCTTGATGAGAATGCCCTCAATCGCCACACCCCATTTGTCTGCTACATCCCCAACGATTTCCGCAATTTCAAAAGCAATAGCTTCTCGTTCTGTGACAACAGACTGTACCGCACGGGCACCGACAACATGACGAAGGGTCGTTTGGGCCCGCTCGACAAGGGCCTGACGCAGGTCGGTGATGCCAAAGGCTGCGCGGTAGGGGTTGCAAATTTGGAAGTAGATGACGGAGTCGCTAAACTTGGAATGAGCAGGAATAGAATGGCAGGTGGAGAGCGCACATCTCAACGTTGACGTTGTCCCGCGTGCTAAAAAAAAAGCGCGATGAGATGGGTTTCATGACGCGTTTTGGAGTACGGACATGACGCTCTGCCGGCCAATGGGACTAATTTGGATTTTCACGTCCACGATCTTCAGCGACTCGGTGCACACGTTGACCTGGACGAGACCGGGGTCGACAGACTTGTAGAACTGTCCAAAGCGAGAGACGAGCCCGACAGAACCTGATGAGGTAGGGAGACATTTAGGGACAGTCGAAACGGCGACTGACAAGAGACGCACCTTGTTGGACTTCGCGGAAAGGATTGGGGCAGGGGCAGCATGGAACCATGCCGCATAAACCAACGATGGTCCCAAGGCCGTTGAGGAGGGACCCATAAATGCCATGGGTAACCTAAATTCATGTCATTGAGGGTGCAGCAATGAAGAAGGTTGGCCACGCACCTCCCCAGTCCCCAGGTCCTGCGCATACGAAGGCTGGAAGAAGAAGAAAATGAGCTCGTGGTCTACAATAGTGGTTGGTACATACCTGCATCTCTGCTCGCTTCAGAGGTTGCACCTGTATCATATGGCCCTTCCCAGCATCGCCCGTTCGTCGAGGACCACCAACGGTCGGCTCATCCGTCACTATACGGTGTCAGCTTCCAACCTTCAGAGGAACTCAGAACTAACCATGGGCAGCGTGGTGGTCGACAACATTGCCATGGGAGCTCGACGACTCCGAGGGAGAGGGAATGCGGTCTTTGCGGTCGAGGGTGCCTTGGAGTGTCGACATGGTGGTTAAGAGCAGACTAGGTGGGAGTGCCGCGCTTTATATGCGGGGTCGTGGAAAGACAAGGGGGAAAGCGCAGTCGGGCCGACATCTAGCCCTACGTCACACGCCAGTCACTCTCCACGGAATTCAATTGTGTCTCCGGTCTACAAGGATCCGTTGGTGCTCACCGCAGCTCGGCACCAAATTCCAGCAGAAAGCTGTAGAGACCACAAGTTTGGCCACAGCTTTGGTGCTGATATGCATCTCGCTTGACAGCAGTCCCCCCCGTTCTCACCCGCTTCTCAATGACTTTTTACACGAGTCGATCCTTCCAAGCTGCGCAGAACGCCCGGTGTGTCCCGAGTCCTACGTTGCCAAGAGGGATTTTCGCCTTGTGCTCATTTCATCATTTGGCCTAACTGGGACGGACATTTTGTCACTAAACCTGCGACGTGAGTTCTGTTGTTGTTGTTGTTTGTTGCTCTTAAATCTGATCGCAACGCTCAAGCTATCGCGGATCGCACTCGACATGAAGTCTATGCTTCAGCCTGCCGGCGGTGGTCGGGCATATATTCCCAACCTAGCAGACGACGACCCGATCTTCGCTTCCCATACGAATGCCGATGGGTCTGCAGAATCCACGGGGGTGCTTCGGGCAGGTTATAAATATGGCCCACTCGCTCCCTCCAATACCCAACGATGCCTTCCACCACCAACAACAGTGTCGCTGCCCGTCGGCTTGCCCAGGTTACCACCACCCTCGCTGGCCTGTCCACCGCAGCCGCACCGCCGCAATATGTCGCCCCGCCAGCTACGAAAGAAAACTGTGCGTGATGTCCTCCGGGCAATGCCAGCGCTCATTTACGATAAAGTGCCCTATGCGGACCTCGCCGTCATCGACCTGTCGCAAGGCCACACACTCTCCGGCCGCAGATCGCTCGCCACAGAGGTCGTTCGCGCAATGCGCACTCATGGGTTTTTCTACGTCGTCAATCACGGTTACTCCGCGGAACAGGTACAAACGGATACCGGGCCGTATGACCTTAGGCTTGCTAAGATGAGTTCCAGACGACCCGCATGTTCAGCATAGCCAACGAGACCTTCGACGCCGTCTCCGAAGGCGAGAAGGCGATCTACACGGGCCAATCAGCAAGCGTGTACGAGGGATACAAGCCCCGGCAGACGTGGGTGAGCACCTCGTTTCTCTCTCCAGAGCCATCTTAACTCCGGTAGAAAATCGAAGACGGTGTGCAGGACCAAATCGAGCATTACAACAGTCAGGGCGGCGCAATCTGTATATCCAATGCTGATACAAGATAGTCAATCGTCAGGTGTACAATCGCCCCCATCCCGAGCCTCTTCGTCCCTATCTCGCCGAAATTGAGGCGTTCGCGCGTCATAACCACTTCAACATTTTACATCCGATCTTGCGGTGCGGAGTCCATCTGCCGTCTGATTCTCTAAATGTCTGGTTATAGATTGCTGGCGATGGGCATGGGTCTGCCGGACGAGGCGCTGGTGGAGCAGCATTCGTTCGACGAGGCGGGCGAATCATCAGGTGTGCCGTCCAGAGATGGCTCAAAAATCTTCTGAATCGACCTGTTTGCAGTGCGATTTATGAAATAGTACGTTACTGCGCCATCTTGCACGACATTCTCTTGATACACATTACCAGCTATCCTCGATCAGTAGACGAAGAACAGCGCACAAAGCAAGTGTGGCTCAAGGGACATACAGGTAGGTACTTACTCTAACAGGATCGACGTTGCCCCATCTGCTTTAAACAGACATCGGCTCAGTCACCATTCTGTGGTCGCAGCCTGTGGGCGGTCTGCAAATCCTTTCTCCAGACGGACAATGGCGATGGGTGCGCCACATGGAGAATGCGCTGGTGAGGCCCGTGACCATGATAAAGCTTGTGCTCATCTTTCCTGTCAGGTCATCAACGCCGGAGATGTCCTCACATTCCTCTGCGGCGGCTTCTACCCCGCCACGCGCCATCGTGTCCGTCTCCGTCACCTCCATTTATAATTTTTAATATTAACGCGCAGTCCGCAGGTGATCCAGCCCCCCGCCGATCAGCGCGGGCGAGCACGCGTCGGGGTATTTTACTTCGCCATGGCCAACGACGCGCTCCCGCTGGTGCCCCACACGCACAGCCCCGTGCTCCAGCACGTGGGCGTCCAGCGGCAGTGCGCGGATGCGGACGCGCCGACGATGCAGGCGTGGCGCCAGGGCGTGACGGCGGCGTATGGGCGGAGTACGCTCGTGCGGAGCAAGCAGGACGCGCGGGTCGAGGAGGAGGTCATCGCTGGGGTGGTAGTAAAGCATTACAATTAGTGTTTGAGATCCCAGTAAGTGAATAAGTATATATAAAGAATTGAAAACCAGTCAGTGATAACCTTTGGGACCTAGATTGACCATTTTAGGCCCAGTCTCCTACAAAAAGAGGGAATTTTCATATTTTGTTCTAAGCTGGTGCTTACCTATCATGGTTGATTAGATATTGAATATATTTAGAATATTATAAATATATTATGCACTTGACTGATCATTTAAATATGATTATATTTGAATATATCATGTTATATTATGACTATACTATATTATAGTCACAGAAGATTCAAATATAGTTGTGTAGATGATGAAAGCTATTTTCCCAGTCAGTGTGCTTACCAATAGTACTAAGTAATCTTAGTCTGATTTAGACCTACTTCTGGTAGGTATCATATATTATCTACTATATATCCAACCTAATGCTAGCAGTCATGGCATGACACTGTCATGCCCCTGATTGTATTTTGAGCCTGAGGGTTCTATGGGTCCAATGCTGGAGTTATACAGCCCTGAAAGGAAGTTACCTACCCTGGCAGTCTAGCATGTATCTTATGCTTTCAGTTTGTCCTGCAGAGAATATGTCAAACATATCCAAGGATTATAGTTGAATATATTCATAACATATTCATATTTTGCAGCTGAATATGATTATATTATACTACAAATGTATTATTGTGTTAAAGCTCTAAATATGATATGATCATGATATATTATGTCCTCAGAGTAATATAATTTAACCAGTACTATTCTTAGCAATCAACATAGATTTTAATTTGAACAGCCTACAGGCATTTGAGTTATTTTCAAGTTGAACATTTGGCAAGAATTTGGAATAATCAAGTGTGGCCCGTCTTGCAGAAACAGTCCCAAGAGCTGGAAACATCTGCCAGTGCTGGGTGCACTGAAAACTATTAGGAGAATTGCCAGGAAGTAAGTAAGCTTACTGGAAAGTGAGGGGAAATGTCTATATATCTCTTTATAGATATCATCCAATACCTTTGTCAAGATACTATAGTCTATAGTATGTGACCAATTTTAGTTGGACTTCTACCCAGGTCCCATTCTAGGAGATTTTCTCTCTTCTAATAATATTAAATAATATACCGTCAAAAGTATTTTGATCAAGTGTCTGTATTACAAGTTACACAGCCGAGAAAAAAAAAACTCCTTAGAAAAAAAGATTGCTATGTAAAATCAAAATTACTTGATTTTTGGTATATATAGACCTATATTTGGTATATTATTCCCCTGCAGATTTATGGTCATAAAATCACAATAGGGGTTTCATGTAAAACAGTAACCTGAAGCTGAATTTTTTGTGAGAAATCAGGTACCAAAATAAGCTACCAATTGCCAATAAATCAGTGCCACACACTTAGTAATGAGGGCCTTTGATTTGTCCAAAACCCAGGCCACTTATTTGGACCTCTATTACTGCTATAAAAGTCCAACTCTAGATTACTGTTTGGGGTAAAACCCTAATGTAAATAGTCACCTGATATCAGCCTTGATAAATGTTAAGATTAAGGGAGTGATAAGTATACATACTAATTTGATTGCTCACTATCATTGCCAATCACGTGAGAAGGAGGGGTGTAGGGCTAATTTTGTGTGCGGAGTTTATGGGCGCTGAGACATTCAGGGGCGGATTTTATTTGGCTTCAAGCTTTACCAGTTCTAATACTTAGTATGCACCAGAAGTTTGGATATTCTTATAGCTCTAAGTATTCTCTTTCAAATGATGCCCATTTTTTAGTGACTGTAATCATCGTTCACACATTTGAATGAGGTATGGTCACATGATATTCACGTGCATTGCTTTGTCATCCACGTGTCAACCATCCAACGTGTCAACCAAAGCGGCTGGCAGGGATAAATTTTGATGCTCTGAATTCACTGTGGGAGTTTGGAAATAAATGGCACCCATTTCAATCGATTATATACCCAAAATTAATGTGCCAAAAAAGGATTTTTTTAAAATCTCCATTTACACCCAAAAAAGAGTCACTTATATGCTCCAGGGCCTGATATATAGCATATAAGTCAGTGATGCACTTAGGCCTCCTAAATTGACCTTCCAGATGATTTAGGGCCTATTAGGTGCCAAGGGCCTAATTTAGGTCTATTGTCATAGGCCCTAATGACCAAGAAAAGAGACATATATTTAAGTAGTTATTGATCATGATTATATTCTCTGTGGAATGGGATATCACTTTCTGATCTCTGGGTACATTAGCTGGAAAGATAACATATATACTTCTGCAAAAGTTTAGCAAGCTTCAGCTGGACCAATTTTGGACCCCTCAGCAAAGGAGAGAAGAAAACCTGTATTATGAGCAACATAAGTCATTGAACCTGATGCTAGTAGTCAAATAGATAAGATAAGATAAGATTTTAGGTCCTAAATAGGCCCTATGAAAGATTGGAGTCTAGCTTAGGCCCTGATTTTAGGGCCTCTTAGGGCCCTAAATGGCTAGGGCCTAAAAGCCTAAGGACATCACTTCATATAAGTGAGTATTTATCATATAAGTGAACATTTTTGGTGCAAATAGAGGTATAAAAAAAAATCTTTTTTTTGGTACATGGATTTTAGGCGTATAATCAATCAAAATGGGCCCCGTTTATTCCTGAACTCCCGCAGTGATTAATACTGCACGAGCTACCCCGCTGATGGCGGATTCCTAGTACAAATTGAGTCCACTTTTGGTAAGGTTTATTTTTTCATTTATCAAGGTTTTAGAAATGGACTGAATCACACTAAGTATTTCTCAGTAATAAATCGTCAATCCACACTACTTAGTACTATTACTACTACTACTCATTATATTTCACTGAATATTCTCTGTAAATACTACAATTCCCGAGCTCTCAGAGGGTATTCGGTGCGGGACGCCATGTTTCGGGTTCAATTGTCCGCCCGATCAATCCCATCATTCACTTGGGCGTTGGTGTCAATCAAATGCGCTTACGTTGGCACCTCTTCAACCTGACTTCGATGGGAAGCACCTTGGAAGCACCTGCTGCGGACAGTTCTCCCGTCTCGAAAGCAGCCGATACTAACTGTTATCACTAGCAGGACTCAATCTGCAACAAGGGAATAGTGCAGAAGAAGCGCTGGCCGTTCAGCACAACACTGACGACTCATTAATGGCCGCGCTAGCTTATCTTGCTTGAATACCGCTTCACTATACAATGTGCAACGGATCACCTCCGTTGACAGTTCCAGTCTAAAGTGTGTCTGGATCTACAAGCAATTTCTGCCGCTAACCGCTGTTTTGTGTCGACGCCGGTCAGGTACCAGTCGGCCTAGGCACGGAGCCTCACTTCATTCCTTTTCGTCTCTGTCGGTTTTTCGCAAGTTGCAGGATTGTCAAGAGTCCGCCCAGTGGCCCCCGGGAACAACAATCCGCAGCACTTAATCGGCGCCGATCCACCATCTGCGCAGGAGATATCGCCCTCTGCCTGAGTTTGGCACCATAGTGACACAGGGACGGCGACAGGTGCCCGTTCGTGGAAACCAAGCTTCCTGTAAGTATATCTAGACCGATGCAAAACCAGAACTGTTTTTTTTCTTCCTTTCCCGGCCGCGGTAGATGAAGACCTTCTGGTCTTCGCGCCTGCCAGCGCGTGAACCCAAGGAGGACGATTTGGACGATGCAGATATTCCGCTACTCGGCCACGACCTGCCGGTAGCTGCTCCCCGGCTGCGAAGGGCGGGTGCGACATCGTTGTCCATGTGGGCGCTGGCGCTGTGTGTGACAGGCGCATGGATATTGGGCATTGTTATGGGCGGCGTGGGGTCTGCTATTCTGGCGCGAAAACCGGAGGAGGCGAGAAACACTACAACTACCAACAAGACCACCGGCACCGCCCGGCCGCCGCCGCATGTCGCTGTATTATCCTCTCCACCGACGTCGTCGAGCTTGGTGTCATCTGCAGCAGCGGTGACAGCGGTACCAGATCCCGAAGCTTCTCTCCGCGCTATTGCTGCTGCAAGCGTAGACGCTCTTATCGGCCGACAGTCGTCCACCATCGCTCAAGCCAAGGCCCGATATATTCTCAGAAATAATCGTTCACCCCCGCCTTCCTTCCCACAATGGTTCGACTACGCGCACGAGCGGCACTGTCTAATCGACGAATACGACCAGGTTTATTCGGACTTTAAGGTCTTCTATGACATTGCGAAGGAGGATCAGGGGTACTTTCGACGAATGGCGGAGAGGGCAGCGCGGCAGGTGAGTCACCGTTGGCCAGGCTAAATAGCAGCTGACTGACTATCTCAGATCGAAGGTCAGGATGCCTCGATATCGAGGGTGGACGTGAAGACTGGGTGGCCATCGCTTCACGGGCATACCGCGTATGATTCCTTTTGGCCAAATACCTTTCCACGTGTGCGTTTTCGCTCTGCGTCTTCCTCTCGCTCATCCCGCCTGGCGGTAGTTTACCAAGATATTCGGCAACATGACGTTCCTCGTAAATGGGAGAGACGAGCCGCGCGTGGCGTTCAATGCGCGAAAAATGGACGCTTGGTCTCGCTTCAGAGATACTAGGAGCGGGAGCAAGCCACATAGTGTGGAATCGGGTTATTTTGGGTTGGCGCCTTCCCCTACGGCCCCGTGGTTTGCAGAGCAGGGGTGCGAGCTCCCATTAGAGCGTGAGGGCATGATGAAGAGCGCCAATCCCTGGAGCGGCTGTAAGTGGTTTGTCTGTTCTCTTTTTCCGTGACTCAATACTGCGGCTAGTTATGCTCTCGTCTGTAACGCCGGCATTTAGCACAGAGCTGTACCCACTCCTGAGTATGGCAAAGGTGTCGCCTTGTTTCGCCGACATCCTCTTCCCAACCGAGGTACTCTTTAACCATTCCTCTGTTTGGATCTAACAGCAATCAGTTCTACTACACGTATTCATGGTGGTACCAGCCCTTCTATTACCCCGACCGCGTCAAATGGGAAGACAAACTCGATAAAGCCTGTACATATGCAACTGCTCATGATCTTCTGTGTTACTCACCTTCTCTGTAGATTGGCGTGGCGGCGCCACGAGCGGCCGCATCCTCGACAACGCGACCTATCATTCGTTTCCCCGCTTCCTTCTATCCAAACTCTCAAAACAACACCCCTCTCTGTTGGATGCGCGAATAACGACCTTCCCAGGAGACACCCACTGTCTCGGCACCTGCAACGCGAGCGCCGGTCGCTGGTTTTCAAGGTATTACCCCGCCTTTTCCCGTTACAATCACTCATAGTGATTAATTGTAGTCTACCATCTTCAGTGAATTCTTTAATCTGTGGGTCCGCCCGTACGAGCACTACATCCCCGTCCTCGCCGACCTGTCGGACCTTGTGGAGAAGATTGAGTGGGCGAACGCGCACCCTGAGGAGGCACGCCTGATTCAGCTGCGCGGGCTCGAGGTCGCGCGACGCGTCTTAAGCGACAAGCAAAACGACTGTTACTGGGCAAATGTGTTGATGCACTGGGAGGAGCTGATGGTGATGGGTAGGCAGGATGAAGGGCCTGAGCCGGGAACAGTGGGCCATCATTTGTACAGGTAGACTTTCCTTATGATTATTGGGACTGTGTAGATATCGATAGGATAGCTGTATTTCTTACTAGTAATGCTCTGCCGGTGTGTATTGTACTACTTAGAATTGACTAGTAGACTGCAATCGTTAGTCAACGAAGGCTTGCATGGAAAATTCACATCCTTATATCAAGTTGTCATGATATGCTATGGACCAATAAGGGTATATTTCTGAAATGACCCGGCCAGTGTGCCAGTGTGATTGCTGCTTACTGTGTTTGCCTGCAAGGAGTAACTTGAAGCCTGAGTATCTGGGAAAGCACTTGAATTGAAGTAACAACTTGAATGGGCCCGGGAAAAGAACACGGTGTTGACTTGAAAATCCGGGTGTCATCCGACTGTAACATTTTACTAGTACTGTACTTAGTCGTCACCTACAGCGGTTTCATCAAGCTCAGGCGAAAATTGGGACCCAAACTCACCCATAATCATCGCCTTGTCACGGATATTCCGTCCCGGCCCGGGCCCGGCCCCAGCCGTGACACTCCTCCGTCCCTCTCCACGATCAGTCATCTCCATCTGCGGTGTCCGTTGTGGCTGCTGACCGACACTCCCTCCTGGTGACGGGCTGTCCCCCTGCCACAGCGCAGCCTCTTGGTCACGCTCAGCAGCTGCCGCTTCAGCCGCAGAAGTGTCGCCCAGTCGCAGACGGGTGCACCAGGTGTCCGGGACTGCATGCGTGTCAGTATTGTGAGGAGATTTTGAGGCCTCAGCCCTGGCACCTACATAGATTGAGGACGTGGCGTAAACAGCAATTGGACTCCGTGCTGCGACTGCAGAGCGCTTCATAAAGTTAGCCTTGCTTTGACGGTCAACTAGTTATGACTCACAGCAACAGAGACAGCAAGAGATACAGCAATCGAACAAGTCGACTTGTCCAGACATTGTCGAATGCAAGAGTGCACGATAATGAGTCGGGGGTAAAAAGCAAGGGGATGGAGACGACAAGCGTCTGGTGCACGTTCTTCAATTTGGGGGGATTCGCGTTTCAGCGCGGCGCGTGTGAAGGTCGACAAGCTTTTTCAATGCGCGGAGGAGGAAAGCTGTTAAGTAATAGTAATCACCATGGAAACAAGATTGAGTCCTGAGATGACTGCGCAGAACTAGAAGAAAGATATCTTGTTCTACTTGGAAAAACTCGTGCGAGCGACATGGAAGTGAAATTTGTAAGATGGATAACTCATTCAGCACGGCTAACACCCGAAATGCAGGACTGACATCGCCTCGACGCTGCCTTCATTGAACTGCGATCGCGTCAGCATTACACGAAATACCGGTGGTGTAGACATTCACCAAAACCCCAAGAACATTGTTCTCGTTCATATGTACCTGGTGGAAGATGCGCTTTTCGTCTGAGGTTATCTCGATGTACTCGAGGTCAGAGAGGACCGGAGGCTCTGTAAAGGCGGAAAATGAATTGTATGATATGGCCGGCGGCTGATCCGATGCTGGCACCCCCCCGCGAGTTGTGCGTCCAACAATCCGCAGCGTGGCCCCGGTCAGGAGCTCAAAAGCGCCGTCGGCGCTGCCGATGATGGGAATCATACCCGGGCCCGTTGGGTGTGAACTTGTGTCGTTCAAGTGGCCGCTGGTTTCACTGGTATTATCGCTGGAAGGGCGCGACCAAGGGGCGGCCTCTTTTCTGACACGTCGGATATTCCACCGGTTAAAGTCGAGGACGGTCAGCGGCGCGCCGGTCCATTCTTCCTCCGCGTCTGCTGGGGGGCGAGGTACGCAGACAAGTCGCTGGCCCCAGCACGACATGAATTCCAGCGGCATGAGCTCCAGATCCAGGAATCGGGTACAATAAGGCAGCCAAAGGGCAGGTGCGAGTTCTCTCCGTCCGTGGGTGTCATGCATGGAATTAAGCCATGGTTGATTGATTTCGAGAATGGCCAGCAATGCCGTTCGGCGAACAACAAATCCATGAAGTCTCTCCAATGGGTCGTCTTCATCGTCGTCGAGCACATCCGACCCAGTGGCATAGGAAAACAGAATGAGAGACTCTTCGTGGAGGGAGTGAAACTGGACGGGAGGCCCAAGGTAATCTTCAACCTTGCCCTTGATTCTTTTGATGCTACGATACGTGGGGGGGCTCGGAGAGCAAGGAAAGGGCTGGAAGGTTGCATTGAATGTTCCGCCGATGATCCCTAGACCCGTTTTGAGTGGAGGTAGATGGAAAGAAACGATATTGGATGGTAATATGCATGGCGCTGCAGAGTCCTGGATGGATGGAAGCTCAGGCAGGCTAATAACATCCAGGGTATTACGGTCTGTGTTGGGTATGGCAACGATGCTGGAGGTCAAGAAGACACCGGCAATGGAGCCGCATACGAAAGGTTGCTGAAGTATTCTCGTCATACAAAGTTCAGGTGAGGGTGAAGACGAGCAAACATACAATGAGCTGTTGGCCTGTGTGCCAATCAAACAACCGCATGAAAGCACAACTTGTTTCGTCGGTGTAGAGCCAAAGAGCAATCATGCCTCCAACAACCTGCGTCCGGGATTCAACAGGACAGTCTTCGTGGACATCACAGATGGTTATGGAAGGCACAGCTGCGCCAGGATGCCGCTGACCGGTGGAAAATTGCAATAACTCGACGCCAACAGCAATTTGCGATGGATTGTTGGGATGCGGAATGCTAAGGTGGCTCCCATTAGCACAACTCGTATGATTCAGCCTGTACGCACTAGGTAATTACCACCAGCAAATCGTTCTCGTCATCGGCAACGACAAAATCGATTAACGGCTTTCCCGTAAACAATACGCGCCACTCAGCTGGATCCTCGGAGCCCATCGTAGTTGAGAGATACTTGAGCCGGGTTACTGTTGAGGTAGATTGTGGAGCAGGCGGCGGGTTTACATTTGCCGATAGGCTATCCCCAATAACAACTCCATCCGCAATCAACTCGTATATCTTGACACTCCCAGCCTGAGTGGCATTTAAGAGAATCGGTGTGAATTTGGTGGGCATGAGTCCCATCCAGCCGCGTTCGCGTATTGCGAGTTGCTTTATGCGCTGAGCTGTAGACGTGCTTTCCGGTGCCTCACATTCTTCCTCGAGGCCGGCCAGGTCGAGCTGTGTTTGGTAGGTGATTTGAATGGAAAAAACAATTATTTTCTTCAGCCGTTGATTTCCTGTAGCGATACACGCAACCAGGTCCTTGGGGCTCAGATAAAGAAGGCATGACTGCAGGATTTCGGTTGGGAGATCGAGAAGATGCATAGAAAAAGTCACGCTGACCAAGGCAGTCACGTTGATCTCTTCTGCGGATATCGAGTATTTCCCCGCTTGTTCTCCGCCTCTACCTACACGCTGAGTAGGACTCGGAGCAGTCAATGCCGGTTGGACTTTCGAGCCTGCTTAACCTCACAAGTAAGAATCATTGTGAAATAAGTTATTCTCATTGACGTCGCGGCGGGCCCGTTGGCTCACCGCCTAATATTCGGAGTTCACAAGTTATTCTTGTGTTATATACCTGTTATAGGATGCATACACTGGCGGGGCCGAACAAAAACACCACTTCAACTGAACTTGAAGGCGACGGACAGGAGGAGCTTGAGGGGTTGAGTGGCAGGGAGGAACACGTCCCTGATCTCGGAGCGGGGTATATAAAGCTCTTACTCCTCCAGGACCATCCGCTCGTGCGTACTGGGCTTCAGCTTCCGCCATGCAACTCTCTGTCGTTTCCTTGGTCATTGCCGCACTTGCGCCTCTCGTCTTTGGTCAAAGTTCGGGGAGCTCTCTGTCGGCCACGAAGAGCAACTCTGCCGGCGCCGCCAATCCCAGTGCCAGCGCCAGCCTCGCAGCATTGACCCCCTGTGTTATTGGATGCCTAACTGCCGCCGCCGTGGACACTCCATGCTCGACTTTGTGTGTCTCTTTCCCACTGCGTCCTCGGCGACTTGAATCCCAGCTAACATTGCTATCACACAGCACAAATGTTACTTGCGCCTGCACCAATGCCGATTTCCAATTCAAGGCCACGTCCTGTATGCAAGGCGAATGCAAGGCCGAAGAGCTTAGTGCCGCAGTTGGAATACAGCAAGCTCAATGCTCTGCCTGTAAGTTATGACCGTCTTTATTCGACCTACTCATTTTTTTAGTATCCTTGAGTGCGACTGCACCTCCCACGGCCACCACGCCGTTCTTGCCGTCCAACTCGGCCGCTGATATCTCCGTGTCTGGCGCTGCATCGGCTCCAGGCTCTGGCGGCTCACCAACGAGCACTTCACCATCTGCCGGTATTCCTGCCGCGTCAAGACCTAGTATCGGTGTTGTAACCGTATTTGCGGTGGGCCTAGCAGTAGCGCTCGGTGGCGCACATGTTCTCTAATCCACACGCCCATCGCTCGTTACTTTCTATATCTTGTGCTCCCATACCCAGAAATGTCAAGCTTGCTGTTTCTTAACTTGAAGTTCGACCCTGAGTTCGTGACTATAGCTATTTGAATTCGATATCCGTACAAGAGCACTAAACTTTAGTACACCTTAACAAATTGAGCGTACCACCGTGCCCCGCGTGGGACCTAGGCCATTATTACTATTATTACCACTGCATGGGATCGGCATGTTATTATTTGAGTTTGGGCAAGATTGCGGCCGAGCAGAAGAGATCGCGATCGGGGCTTCAGAAATATACTTTCACTGACTTGATCCTTGATTGATTGTAAGTAAGACCCATAGGCATCCGACCATAGAGTCGCTCACAGTCTCTCATCGAGTCGCAGATTCGACCTTGAGTTGGTGTACTAGTAGTGCTAATAGCCTGCTACCTGAGTGATGATTGCATATTAGGCGGGACTTGGATATTGCGCCCACATTCTGCTCGACGTCAGAGAAGACTTGATGCAGGAAGCAAGAGCAACTTCTCAAGAATGCACATCGATATCGATACTGGTCTGCAAGCCGATCATAAATTTTGGTGCACTTTTCATGGGCGTTGTGGTTAGTGAAAGCCCAGATTTTTTTCATGGAGTTGGGGGGAGTAAGGACTCGGAGGTGACTAAGACTTTATAAAGACTTTACACGATGCGGCAACGGTTTTTTTGGCTTCAGCGAACACCGGAAGAAGGCACTAAGAAGGTCTGTCACACAAAACGTAACATGATGCGACTTGTCGCTCACCAGCACTTTTAAACCAGCGCCAGCTGAGACCCCCCGTTGTGCGGGTCGCTCTCCTCCTACCTCCACCTCCATCCTCTTCACTGGTGAGCGGCATCTTTGGCTCTCTTGTTCTTCCTTCTTCTCCCCCGTTCTCCCCTTGGTCCTCTTACCACAGTGGTAGCTTAAACGCGACCCAAACCACGACATAATACTACCTGCTCTCGTTGCATGTGTATCATCTTGTCGAGACACGTACTCACTCTGGTCTCCGGCTTTTCCCCCTCCATTCGCCGTTTATCTTTCTTTTCTCCTTCTTACGCGCATATACCGTCTCCCTCCCTCGTTCTTCTCAGCCTCACTTGCATGCACCACTGGCAGTTGTTTCCAGAGCGTCTTCTACTCCCAGGTCTTACAACCTGGTCCACTCGCTCATGGAGTATATCTTGGAAAGATTCATGCCCTCATCGTGCTTCATAATTCCTTTCTATACCGTCTCCAAATTTTTCCGTTGCGCTCAAGCTTACTCCTGCTTCCTTCGCCCGACATTTTCTTTTAACCTTTTATTGGAGTAATACCATACATTGCTGGATTCGGCTTCCTTTTGTCGCCTCTTTCTCGGCCAGTTCTTAACTTTTTGCAGTTATCTTCCATTTTCAAGAATGCAGCAACAGCAGCAACAATCCCAGCCGTCACAATTTCTCTCCCTTTATGACCGAAGCCCTCAACCACGCCCTTCGCCGGCAAATTCGACCATGGCTTCCATTTGGGCGCCGCAACCTCAGCCCAGCGAAGTTACATGGCCACGTGCTATAGAGGCGTTCGCTCGTTGCGTGCCCCAGTCAAGAGAGGACACCATGGGGAACGTCGAAGCCTTAGGTCCTGCCCGAAACGCTAGTGGCTTTATTGGAGGTGGACCCGCAACCCCAGATCTACGTGCTGACAGTGTGCGTTGTCTATCTTTCTTGTCGTTTCTCGTCGCTTATGGTGATTCGCTAGCATGTCGAGCAACTTCTTCGGACACTGAATCTTAATTCTCCCGAGCTTCAACCTCCAGTCGTAGCCAGCTCTTCTCCAAAGAGCGTGGCTTCCGCAGAGAGCAATCGCAGTCGTGGTGGCCGCGGGAGACCCATACCTACACCACTTGACCTAAGCTTTGGGTCCAACTCCTCGAAGTCAACATCTAATACCTCGGCATCCATTTCGATGACAAGCGGCTCTATGACCACATCTACCGAAAACTCCTCCCTTCTATCAGTTTCGCACTCAATCGAATCAGTTCATCAGCAGCAAGATGGCATATTCGCGCCGACAACCACTACAGCTGTTGCGTCGTGCCCAGACTCGCCAGATACCGACTTTTCTCCTCTTTCATTTTCATCCGCTCTTCTCACTCCTCTCGACTCTCCTCATTCGCACTCTCCCATTCATGGTGTTACTGCATTCCACTCTCCCATCCGCGCTGCCCATTTGCACAGTCATGGACTACCTCTTCATTCCCCTACCCAGTCTTTCCAGCATTCACCCGCTCAATCCATCCCAGGGTCGCCCCACCATTCCCCCAACCAGCTGTTTGGTTTGGGATATGCAAAAGAGCAGCAGCGATTTGCGTATGGCGGCTATCGTGACGCGTTCAACTCCGAGCCGCCTTCTCCGTACGGTTCCGGAGTCAGCACTGCTGGTTTTAGCCCTGGAGCCTTGACACATCCGTCGTACAGCAGCCGATTCCTTCCTCTTCCTCCAACACCGCCCGGGGCCCCTATCATCCCACAGACTCCAATTCTCGAGAACACAATCCCCGCTAACAAGAGCGCTCTTTTTGCCGCCGACTTCGGGTCCTATTACCCGCAAGCTCTTTCTTCTGGTGGTGATGGTGCAGAGCATTGGATTCGTGGCGAGGTAGTGGAGCGTATTGGCAACAATACAAATGCAAACTCTGCTGGTAGAATGGGACTCGGCGGACTGGGTCTTGGGCTCGGAGTTGGATTTGCACAAGGCCAGCCAGTGAGGAATTTACGGCCTTCGGCACCTGTTCGCTCTGGATTTGTGGTTCCCTCCAGCCCCGGCAGTGCGAACTTTGGTCAGGATGGGTTTAATGTGGGACATGGACTGGGCGCAGATGATCTTCATGCCCTACGTGGGTCGCTCGTTTATCAGCAGCAACAGCTCGCGCAACAACAGCAACAAGTTCAGCAACTACTTCTCCACCAACAGCAGCAGTCGAATCTCGCTCAGCAACAGCAACAGGATGTCCCAACGCCCGTCAACGGGACCATTTTGAAAACGACTGATAATGGATTCGAGGGGCATGGGCGGCGCAGTTCTGACACATTGTCCTCTACTTCTGGGCATTCTCCTAGTGGTGGTGGATATGGTAGTGGGCGGGAAGGTCGCAATGGTACCAGCTCAAACGAAGTATGTTTCTCTTTGGATGCCTTTCTAAATAATGCTGATATCATTTTCTAGCCCATCAACTTCCTTTCTCTCCTACACCCGTCCTCTTCTCCTCCATATGCGACTTTTGTTTCTCGGATCATCAAGAATGCCGACCAGCAGGCGAGCATCTTTTTGCAGCAAAAACTCAAGGTCGCCGGTGCCGAAGAAAGAAGTCGTATTCTTGATGCTATATGTGCTCGTGGCGCAGAAATGATGATGCATCGGTCAGTGGAGCGATCTTCCTTCTTTGTCGAGGCTTATGTCTTTTCAGTTTTGGTAATTGGGCGGTGCAGCGCTGTCTTGAAGCTGCCACGACCCCCGAAGAAAGACGCAAAATTGTCGCCTGTCTTCGTGGTCGTGTCGTTGACCTCGCGACTAATTGTTATGGTTGCCATGTCCTGCAAAAGGCCCTTGACTGTGAGGAGGAAGAAGTTCGTCTGCTCATTGTGTCAGAGCTGCTTATGGGGGATCCAGCGCAAACGCTCGTGAACAAACACGCGTCGCATGTGTGGAGTAAGATTATGGAGCTTTCGTGGACTTCCCCTGCCCCACCTATCTTTGCATAGTGCGTTTTTTTTTCGCTCTTGTCTTTGCATATCAAGCTTATGACGTTATAGTGTCAATAAATCTTTGAAGGGGAAGTGGGCGGCTCTTGCCTGCCATGAGACTGGCTCGCTTGTTGTCCAGCATGCGTTCGAGAATTTGGAGGATAGCGCCAAGGAGGGCATTGTCGATGAACTGCTTGGTCAAGGTCCCGCTGTTTTTGGCGAAGTCGCCAAAAGCCAGTGGGGCTCGTATTGTATCCAGCATAGTAAGCTTCTGACCCATGCTACTCGTCCATTGCATCCTGATTGTTCGATCCAGTCCTCGAGCACGGTTCCGAAAAGCATCGCCAGATGGCGCTTGACCATCTTCTTGCTGGTCTCCTCGAGTTTGCATCGAACGAGCAGGGCAACAAGAGTGTGGTTAAAGCACTCAAGGAAGGAGGCAAGGACACGCTTGACAAGGTCGTTAAGCGGATGTGCGAGCCGGCCAAAGGGTTCGTTACTTTTGAGAATTGCTTCGTTGGGGCTGATATAGACCTTAGCGCTCGTCGGGCTATGATTGTCGACCTCGCCTTATCGCTCACTGGTAGCCAGCTGATCGCAAGTGTTCTTCCCAATGCCGACAAAGACCAACGGGCTGCCTTGTACGATTGCATTCGTGGACATATTGTTACTTTGCGTGGCTGCAAGACGGGCTCCAAAGTTATCTGGCTCTTCGATCGTATGGTGTGTGGTTCTTTCATCGGTAATGCATGCAGTTGAAGCTTTTCTAGCGCGCATATTATGGTTACTAGACCGCTTCCCCTTTTCTTCGCATTCTAAGGTTCGCACTCTTGCTCTCGAACTGTGCATAGACTGAGTCTTTATCCAGCTTATCCGACCTCGATATCATCGTCAATCTTTCTCCACATCGCATTGCATTCGATACGACCCATCATTCTCCCCATCAAGCACCAAAGCACGCATCTCAGTCTCCGGAGTTTTACCAGCAAGCCGATCCTGCCTCTCATATCATGAAATTAAAAAAGACGCTTCGCATATAATCTTGGAACTCAAAACCACGCCTCGATTTTTTCCGGCCAACCGCTTAATCCACCCCCCGCATTGCATACATACCATCGATTTTCCTGCTGCATCGTCCCCGCCTTATCTTCAACCAACTTTCGCCGCTTCTGCTCATCCATCCAAATTTTTCTTTACTTTTCTGCTTGGCATCGTAGTTCCCCGCATTTGTTCGGACATCGCATCGATACCTCCATACTGCCCACTGTTGTTGTACCTCCTCTCATCGCATACACATTGTAGCCACTACCACACTGTCTTTCTGTAGCACCGTAGTCGAAAAATCTGAAGTATACTTGTCATATGTGTGACGTCAGCTTTCCTTGCTGTTCTTCCCATTCATGTCGTCGCATGCATCTACCAGCCAACTGAATCCGGCGGGCGTGAACTAGCTGGAGAAGACACAAAGAACTGTTTCTATCTGAATTACTTATCGTCTTGGCGGCCTCAAAACCCCCAGACTTCGCACCGCCCGTCGCCGGCGCATTTCGGGTGTGTCCTGGCCTGTTTCTCTGCATTTGACAATTCACGGACATTCACCAAGGCAATCTACTCCGAAGAAAACGAGGGACTCCGCGCTTGCTGCTCCCAGGCGAGCAGCGTAACAACATATGTAAGATGTTCAGTTGTCAGTAGTCTGTGGACGTTCTGACCAGCGTTGAGTGCCCTCCGAAATGATCATGATGCTCAGGCTCCTGCGGCGTCATCTGAAGCTGCTGCTATGGTTTTAGTGCTCGCTGCGGATGCCGGTCTCTTGTTGTCTTCTCCGGGCAGACGACAGCAGTGAAGCCTGCGGAAAGTCTGTCGTTTGGAACTTGCTTCAAGCTCTTCCTAACCCAGTGGCGCTCATCGACCCGGACTTGGTCTTCGCAATTGTCGAACGAGAAACTTCGTCGTGCCGACTCGGAGAATACTGCCTCAGTTACTAGTGGCCATGGGAAGTTGCCTTGCGAAGGTTCGTCGCTCGAAAGCAATCCTCGTTAACGAAAACTATAGGAGGCTGGTCTTCAAGCTATTACTATCTCAAGTCGAGTTGTCGGTTTGTCTGCCAGTGCTTCGCTTCATACGAGTTGGTGCTGAAAATTGCGGGATAGACATGATGTAGAAGGGACAATATCACTCGGCACTTGGGAGTCTGGCTGGCAATGATGGTGTGGTTGATAACAGTTTGTCCGTCAGAAACAATAATCATGCAAAGGGATAGCATGTTGGAAGACAACCCTTTGAAAGACACGGAAGAGCAAATTTAAAACCATGCTTATGCGGCTCAGTTATGATTGTACTTCATTCAACAAGTTTATACCTATTTCTGTCGTAGATAGCAATGTGACTGATCTTATTCTCAAGCTTTCACGTCCATGGCGGCGACTCTGAGCAACGACGCGGATGCGGAACTTGTCTACAACTACCACCGGATGCACATGGCGCTGCCCGCTCCGCAGACCCCGCCGTCGCCGTCCTCCGCGATATTCGTGCTCTGCTCGTTCGACACGCGGGTCGCGGTGCGCGGCGCGGAGCTCTTCCTCGCCGGCCACGGCGCCCACCTCGTCTTCTCGGGGCACGTGGGCGTGCTGACCCAGGGGCGCTTCGGCGACCTTTCTGAGGCCGAGGCGTTCGCCGACATCGCGCGCGCGATGGGCGTGCCGGACGCGGCGATTATTGTCGAAAAGCAGGCGACCAACACGGGCGAGAACGTGCGGTTCACGGCGGCGCTGTTGGAGGACCTGGGATTGGCCGGGACGATCCGCAGCTTCGTGCTGGTGCAGAAGCCGTATATGGAGCGCAGGACGTATGCGACGTTCGTCAAGCAGTGGCCTGGGCCGAAAGAGGTCGAATTCAGCGTGACGAGTCCGGTGCTCGAGTGGAACGAGTATCTGGACGAGGAGAACACGCGGGAGCAGGTCACGAATGCGATGGTCGGAGACCTCGTTCGCATTCGCGAGTACCCGGCACGGGGCTTCCAGATAGAGCAGCACATTCCAGACGATGTATGGGAGGCAGGACAGCGGCTTATCGAAGCGGGTTACGGGTTACATTTGCCATAAGAATTGGGAGAATTGTAGGATTCAGGACGCGTTGGGCAAATGAATGTCGGTGGTAGGGGTGCCAAGTGCGTGAATGAATACAGCAGTCAGGGAGGAAATAAAAGCGGTAGAAGTACAAGGTCTGCGTAGTAGAAATGAGGCTGGCGCAGTGCTATGAGGACTATAGTACCAGTAAGGATACGTAACGAAATAAGAAAGGTAGGTCAAAGAGCAAAAGGCCAAGAAAGCTGGACCGTAAGAATCGTAAAGCGTCGGTAGCCGCTTGTGGTCCAGGATTGTACCGATTGCGCGAACAGGCTGTGCTGGTCCCAGGGGGCGCGGGGACAACACCGAGGGTGAGCTCCAACGCGAGCAGTTGCACAATGATAAGGCGAGCTTCGTTGTGAGGAGGCAGCCTACTAGTAGTTTCGTGAGATACAAACAACGAAGATGCAATGCGACAAACCCCCAATTTGGACCTGCCAACTGAGCGCTAAGTAGGGCCGCTGCAGCAAACGGGAACAGACTGGACTGGAGCGAGAGTGGGGAAGAAGAATGCCAATGAGGGGCGGCGCCAAATGCTTTCGCTGCTGAAGCAACCAAGATAATCAACCTGAATCGGTGTAACTCACAGCTTCTTGTGCTTCGACTATGCTGAACGGGACACTATGAAGCACATCAGGCGAGAACGGGGAGGCGAAGGCCATCCTTGACTAGTCCATCAGAGCGCAAGAGCCGGGTACTAGTACTTGTGAATTGAGCCGCTTGTTGTGACGGAGAAATGTGGTGTTCAGGACACTAAACGGGTTTCGTTAGAGACGATTGGGATGGGATGATGGTTGAATGCGACTTGCAGTTTGACCCGAGAGGGGGACACGAGTGAAGGAACACCAATCGACCGGGCCTTGAATTACGCGGAACGGTTTTTCTTCGAAGTAGACTCCCTTCGAGAGAGCTTGTCCAGGACAGCCGAGATGACTGCATGATGATCCACCATATGTTCGGGCGATGGGTCGAAATCCCGAAGATACGAACCCGCACCATTTCAGCACGGAGATCCTGGTCCAAAGGTAGATAGTGGGCGCCAAACGAAGCCACCGGCGAAGAGGTCGGTGCTGCCCTCTTGCCAAATAACGGCTTTTCGCGTCCCAGCGTTACACGACTACTTCCCGAGTTTGTGAAGATATATGCAGTCGGCGCCTTTTGTATCCGAATACGATGCATATGCAGAACGTGTCCGTCGGCTCAAAGGCATTGACTAATGAGACGACGAAGGGAGTGGTAGAGGGAGGGTCCCGGGCAGAACAAGGTATGCAGAACTTGCTATTTGAGTATTGAAAATGGGTCGACTCTATGCAGATCGAGAATCTGGCAAGTTGTCGGTTTTTGGTTTTGATATATCGCCAGCCGGGCTTCGTCATATCCAAGAATTAGAAAACGATGACAACAGCGCGGGTGAGCTTGTTTAGCTCCGGACACGAAAAATGCGGACGAGAGGGAGGTAGAGGAGGTCATTGAAATGAAGGGCGGTCGGCCTATTCAAAGCAGTCTCGTCAAAGGCAAGACACCAGGATTTGCAGGGATAAAACTTACAGTTAGACACAAATAAACAGAGTTGGGAGACCTGTCGGAAGCGGCATTATTGTCAGAAACAAAAACCATCCTTTCGAGGGGATAAAACTTACATCCAGACGGCGCTATCCGGAAATCTAGAGGCGAGACGCCATGCAGACGACACAAGGGCCGACAAGAGCGACAAAAACCGCGCGACACTGGGATTCTTTTGAGAAGAAAAGAACCCAGGAGCGATGCGACTGATCGTGAATGAGGTCGCAATAGAGCAGCTGTTGCAAAGGCTATTTGCAGACGATTTTGATGGAACCGATGGGGGAGGAGGTTATTCAAACGATTCTTGTCGATAGGTAAGTATAAAAGCATGAAATTTCAAGTCGGTGGAGCGGAGAGGGTAGTAGATACTACTAGAGGGTTGAGGGCCCGAAAGTAGTAGAAACTCTTGAAACGCCTCAGTCTGAAATCGCGGTCAGAAGAGAAAACGCACATCCCCAGTTTCGTCCACGACAGTGCTTTTTCGGATATTACTGGTCGTGTTACTGATTTGAGACCCACAGCAACCAATGTCCGCATCGGTTCTGCAAGGAAACGTGAGGTCTCCGAAAGGGCTGAATTCATTTCGATGCTGAAGAAGGCTGATGTCCATTCCAATACAGCGAAGCAAGGATGAGGATGCCCCAAGAAATGCCGTTCGGAAGTTCCTGGCTGTTCGTCAGCAAACATGAAGGCCAGGGAGTGTGTGTGAGAGGTAGTGCACCGGTGCATTCTTCTGGTGTCCCGCTACTTTTATGGTCGAGCGTTGTCGCGCATATTTTAAGGGTTCCCGACTGGGTAGTTCCTCCTTATTAGCCCCCCAGAAACGCCGTTTTCCCGGCTCTTGAGACATACTCTGCAGTAAGAATATCAGAATACGTTGTCCGCAAGTTGTAATGGCAAAACCTACCAAAGCGTAAGCCTTTTGTTTTGAGCAAAGATAGCGTGTTCCATGGCGATGTACTGTGGTCGGCAAGGAGAAACCGAGGAAAACATTGAGCCAAAAGATATTGTAGTGGACCAGAAACTGGCAGATTTTGATGATACGACGGTCGAGTTATCCCAGCTCTTGCTGCTGTCCACCTTCTATCGAGATTGCCATGCGCTTTTTGTCCCGAGGTAGTTGTATGTGGCTATATGGCAAATCAACGCCAATGCAGGGGAAGTGAAAGGCGCTTACAGGGCACCATTGACAGGGATTAACATCCGCAGTCTCATGTGCTGAGCGATATGCTGGTGGAAGAGACGCAAAAAAGAATCAGAATCAACCATAGCCCGAAAGGGTAATCACGCTAGTAACAAGCGTGACCGTGACCGCCAAGAGCTGCGATTTCACCAAGATTTCACGCTCAACGGTTTACACAGCACATCTGAGCCTTTGTACGCGGGCTATTATCCATTGGGCTTATCGGCACATTCTTCAGGCCTACTCTGCTTTACTTCCGCGCAACGGACGATTCTTCAAGTTCCGCGCACAGCAAAGAAAATCATTGACATGTGTCGGCGTCGTTTGACAGGGACAAGATGTGGGAGAATATTGCCTCTCTTTCAGCATTCACGACTTGATTCACGATGTCTTCTGGCCCAAAGGTGCATCTTCATCTGCCGGACGAGATCCTCCTACGCATTTTCGCATTACTCGACGACAGTGGGCTCTTGTCCCTGGCGACCATCTCACGACACGTTCACGAACTGGTCCTGCTTCTTCACCTTGAAAGACATGGGGTGTCGCTTGCAGACATCGAGGCGGGTGAAGTGCCACGGCAGGGATTCGCCGATAGCGCGGCCCTCAAGTCACTAGTCCTCGCGCGCTTTCTCTCAAGCGCTAATGTGAATGGGATCTCACTCAAGTTGCGGTTTACACAATCCAATATAGAGACCCTCGAGCAGGAACTTGGAGCGCTGGCAAGACTTTGCCACCGACTGCGGAAGAACGCGCCTGGAATTATATCCGTGTCTTTAGAGTTACACCTTCATCTCGGATTGTCGATTTGGCGTGCTGTCGGGGTCAGCTCGCGGTTGGCAGAGCTAATCATCCTCCATGGAGCGAGCCCTGAACGACCACTCCTTTGCGTTGGCAGCTCTTTCATTAGAAGCTCACCGAGGCTGGAAAGGAGGGATCCGACCTTGGTTCCTGCGTTACGACTGCTTACTATGCCCATCGGAAACAAACTCAGGGTACTGAGAAGTTATCAGAACAACCTACCGCTTCCGCTCCAGAACGTGTGGTTTACACAAATTCAAGACGACTTATTTGCCCTGCTCCAGCGAGGCCCTGCGCAGAGCTATGGCCAACACAATGCGATCGTCAGCTTTGACCTTATCCCGCAATCAGGCTGCGACAGCCTCTCGGCTATTTGCGTCGTCGATGCTGCCAACATCACCCAATTCTGTCCTGCGAGAGACTTGGGAGTCCCTCCGCACTTGGTTTCGGCGCACTTCAAAAAGCTTAATCTGCCGTCTTTGGACCTTGTCCGTCTGGCCTTTTCAGAGGCAGATTCCGCGCTTGACGCCGCTTTGGCGGAATTCCTCGGTCGTCACCCTAGTATCGCCGTACTGCGACTATACGGGCCAGCAAAGGTCGCTGGTCGCGATCTGAGTGAACCTGTCACCCCTATGCGCTCCTTACCATGGAGGAACATGGTCCACCAAGTAAAAACAACCGCCAAAGCGTTGTTATCTCCGCGTATTCTCAGTTTAAGCACAGCAGTCCCGCCAAAGCTTCCTCCCCATTCCCTTCCACTAGTCGAGCATCTATTTAGCAACGTTCGTTTTGCGGCGTGGCTCCTTGCCCCAGACTCAAATGCGCTGGAAAACCTCACTGCAGTCACCCTCGGGATGCAGTCGCTGTCCCATCCAGAGGCGCGCATGGCTTATACATCTGTGTTAAATGGAATTTCCTCCCGCCCTCGAATCCGGAGCCTTGCGCTCAAAGTCGGCTCTTGGGCACCGTGGAAGACATCGACCAGTGCCAATCCAGAGCTTGGTCTTTCTCATGTGAACGAGCTACATCTCGCATTCAGGTCCGCGAGCGTGAACCATGGCCCTGTTCCACCATCCTCCGGAAAGCACTTCAAGCAATTCGTCGCTTGGCTGAAGCTGTTTCCTCCCGTTCAAGTTGATACGCCAAACGATGGACGTGTGCTGACGATGTGGGACCTGGCGCCGGAGAACGAGGAGCAGCTGGTGAATGAGGTGCGGAAGGCCGTCAGAGACCAGAATATGAACTGGTCGCAGATCAATTCGGACATGTACCCGCCGCACGATGTGGTGTACTAGACTACTACTCTAGTATTGACTCTAAAGCGAATCTGACCAGTACTTGATGTGGATCCAGGTCCAATACTTTTACTACATGTGCTTTCGTATACTTAGTGATACTTAGCAGACCATACGGCTCCTATTGTGTCCTCCTCCTACTTCGAAAACGACAGAGCTGGCAAATTATTTGCTTGGTCGTGTTTGGCATCATCGCTAGATTTTGATCAGGCAGATCAACCTCAGCCTTTCTTTCCTCTTCACCCGCCAGTTACCTCAATATTTCCTGCGCCTCCTCTCACTGCCCTAAACACATGGGCACTCATGGGCACATTCTGGGTGCTGCTCGGTGTTTACGCTCCGCTTCTCAGGCAAGCACGGGCTTGACACGGCGATCGTGGGCTTCGCCAAATCACAGAATCTGTCAATATTTCTGGACTCAAGCGCGACTTTGCCGGCGTTCCTGGATGCGATTGCTTCGGTGCATAGTCCTCGCCTAAGCACTCGTCCTCTTCCCAAATCCCCACGTAGATGTGGCCTTTAGGCTTTCGTCGGTCCCACCGTCGCTCATTTCTCCTCTCGACACTCTTTTTGTTGTTCTTGGCTCCTTATACGGCGCTCGCGGCCCTTATAAACACGACATATGACGATACGACCGCGAGCTTCAAGTGGTACGGTCACTGGCGGCCAGGAAGCACCGCTACTCCTTGTACTTTTGCCGCCTGCAATCCGCCCGTCGACTTCTCCCAAGTCCACCAACAAACATGGCAGGCGGGGCTATTTGCTGTAAATAACGTCGCGACCACGAACGGGACCTTTACATTCACCGGTGCGCTGTCCTTCTTCCTTACTAGTACCTCTTACCTAGCATGCATTATATGCATAGGCTCCGCCGTCTACATCTACGGCATCGACCGCGCCAACCTCCAGCCCCAGGTCCAATTCACGCTCGGAAATATCCGCACCACACATCGCTATACCGGCTCTGAGCCCTTCGTCTACAACTCTCTCTTCTTTGCGGCAACAGGTCTCCCCGCGGGCCAAATCCATGTTGTCAGCTTCAATTTTGTCGCTGCCCCTACCAACGTTGCTGCCCAAGAAGCGTGGCTCGACTATGCTGTTGTGACGAGCGAAGGAGATGTCTCTACAGGATCGAATCCCAACCCTGGGGACGGAGGCGGAGAATCGAGTCATCCTCCTCAATCCCCAGCCGGACAGTCGTCCTTACCCGGAAACACTGGAGACAGCCAGCCTCAGAGGCCATCGTAAGTTGAAGTACACTTCTTCAGGACATAACCCACTTGCACTGACTGTTGTCCATTAGATCAACCGGGAGGCACGTTTGTGTATCATCTTGATGATAATAAACTAACTTCCAGTTCTCTTCAAGTACATCAACATTTGGAGCCCAAATCTCCATCAGACCCTTCGGGTAAGCGGTCTGGATGTCTTTTGTGCCGTGTATCAAACATGCTTTTCAGCTCTTCATCCACGTTCACTAGGTATGGGATGTCTTTCCCAATGAAACTCGGGGAATTAACATCAAGACTACAGTTCGGAGGGCTTCTTTGCCGCTACCGGTGCGGGGAACGCTCAGGTGCCGACCGACTCGACGACCTCGAATGGCCTCCAATCTTCAGCTGCTGGCACGCATAACCGTATCGGCGCAATACTCGGAATAGTCATTGGTGTTCTTGCACCAGCGATCTTGATCATAATCGCATGGTGTCTATGGCGCCGCTCCAGAGCTGCCCGCCGTCGACAGCTCCGCCCTCTCGTGTCCCACCAAAAGTTGTCTGGCTATCCGGGTCGCGAAGCGTCTGAGCTCTCGCCCCGACACCCGGTTTTCGTGGATCAGGGACTCTCTAGGGCATCGCACGACGGCTACAGTACCACCACCGGCGCCATGTCGGACTCCCCGTTCTCGAGTTCCAACCCAGCCTGGCATGCCGCCCCGTCAGAAGCTGGGATGGGGAGCCTGAGTGTGTCCGCTTTGAGTTCGGGTATGGAGACGGAGCGGGAAAGGATGGTTGAGGCGCGGCTTCAAGAGCTTGAGAAGCATGTCATTGTACCCCCGCCTTACTGATACCCCGACTGCTATTGCTACTTGGCAGTTATCTTTTGGAAAGAACTACATACAGTACATTTTTGTTTATTATAAACGAGTACGTAGTATACTCGCAAAGTTGTTGTTCGCGAATTTGTACAGCGATGGTAAAGTGATGAAATAGCCTACAGAGCTCAGAATAAGGACTTCCTGTAACGCGCAAGGAGTGAGTGTTTTTGACATCAATTCCTGATCCGACTTTCGCCGCACACATTTCACTCACAACGTCAACACGATGTCCCAAAGCCCTTTGCTCCTCATCTCCGGTGGCGACAATGAACAGTCCTTTGCCGCCGCGGCTCACTGCCCGATAACACATCCAAGTTAGCATCAACCATGAAGACGTGCTGAGGACAACCCACCAATACAATGCAACGAGTACATTCAAGTTATCATTACAGAGACAAACAACATTCTAACAACGATGGCACTGGTACAACAAGGAGCTACATGGGGTGCGGGGGGCAGCGCGCGGGATAGTAACGATCGAGAGGCTACAGGTTATAGCAAGGAGAGGAATTAACGACGAGATTGGGAACCGCTGAACCGGGTTTTAGAGAGTGTGTGATGGTGGGCGGCGCATGGTATGGTGACGAAAAGAATGGAGGGAAGAGATCATCGATATGATGGGTCTGGTCTGCCGTTTTTTTACTTGCTGCTTTTGTGCGAAGCGCAGGAAGCTGGTGTATTGTTTAGGAGAAGCGCAGGGAGCGACTGGGGAACTAGAGAAGGTGAGTAATCCGACGCATAACGCGGAGCGTGGCTCACATATTCAGCATCGTCTTCGTGCTCAAACCCAAATTCGTCTTGCTCGTATTCAAGTTGCTCCTCCTCAACTTCGTCGATAACTTCAGGGAGCTCGGCCTCGGCCTTGTTCTTGCCTTTCTTTTCCTTTGGAGGGATGATCGGCCTGGGATTGCCGTTCTCATCGGCGAGCACATAGGTTTCTTCCTCGTCATTCATGAAGATCCAAGTGCGAGGAGGATTCTAGGCTCTTTGTCAATACGATCGACAAGAGTAGAGGACACACTCACGAGAATAACTTCGCCACGTTGCCTACGCTGTGCCATGTCAATGCGCTTAGCGCGCACCGCGGCACACGTATTGGCGTGTTTCACCAACATTCCAGGGTAGAAGCGCGAGCGGCCGTCAATCGCCAGCCGCTGACTACACCCGCCGCAGACGGCATGCACGACGCCGAACTGAATGATAAATATGTCGTCCTTCATGACCTGGATTCGTTCCATCTCGCTCCGCGACCCCTTCGTCGCCTTCAAGTTTCTCCGAGTCTTTTTCTTGGCTTGAGCTTTCTTAGCGGCGGTTTGGGCTTTCTCGCGAGCGGGAGGATTAGATGCGGCTTTCTTGCCTGGGCTCGTGCTTGCGCGAGGCTGCGAGCGGGCGTTCAAGTTGGTTCGCGACTTAAGCTTTGGCTGGGCCGTGTATTGGGGGGAGAAATGTCCCTGGCTCCCATTGCCAACTTGACTTGGACCCGGGGTCGGCTTCGACAGAGTCGGAACAATAGATGGGTGGTGGATGTGGCTGGCAATTGGTAGCCGCTGGTGTGCCGTCGCTGGACTATATGCGCAATCTTCAGACCAGCCAGCCGTCGGAAACTCGAGGCCCAGCGTGTTTTGGCCCAGACTCCCTTTGCCACCCATGCCACCCGCGTCGAAACTTTGCGCAACACCAAAAACAGGGCTGTTATACGCCAGCGTGCTCGTGTGGGAGCTAAGTGGACTGGAGTACACGGTCGACGTGGGCGAGGGCTGGCTGGCGTTGCAGACATCGGTGTCGAGGATGAGATCGTTGATGGTGATGCGCCTCTCGAAGCGAGCGGTCCTTTGGCTTTGGACAACGTCTCCTTGGACTTGCGGCGAATAGGCCTGATACTGGTACTGAGCCGCCTGCTGCTGGTGCCGGTAGTCATAGTGCCGGTATAGCGAGTGGCGGGATTGCTCGGGCTCGAAGTTGACCTCCGTTCCGTAGGAAAGACTACGCCCGACTTCACCCTCCATCTCAACGTCAGTGTCATCGTCGAGAGCGGTACTCCTGTCACAAACGGTCAACAATTTGAAGGCACGAAACCCCACGAAGAAACGATACCTCATCGCGCTATCCGGAAAGTGGGTCTGTCTGGGTGCGGTGGCAAAAGGTGGCGGTCCGTAGGTCTGCACCGTGTGGAGGCGGACGGGCAGAGGGGTCTGAGGTTGATTGGCCATGTTGGCTTAAGTATGGTTCTGGGTAGGTGGTGGTAGGGAAAGGAGGGAGAGCGAGAGCGAGCTCGATGAGATTGAGAAAAAGCTTTTAAAGGCAGAAATACCCAGTTTTTGAGTCGAGTTGTTAAACCGCAAGCAACACTTCTGACGGACTCCCCAAAAGGAAGTTCCGACCTGTTGCATTGTCTGCACGTTCTTGCAGTGCTTTGCTTTGACCTGCCCCGCATTGTCGCGTCCGCCATTGTCTGAGTTTGTCTCCCGAATCTAGAAGTAAAAGTCCGCAGGCCACCTGCTGGACGAGCTTTCGCTCTCCTTGCGAGACTTGTCGCCCTAGGTTGCCAAATTCTTGCAAGTCAATCAAGTATCCGCCCTAGCCTGAAGAGTCAGTGCTAAACTTGAGAGAGAGAAGGCCTCTGGTGTGAAAGGTTAGACACGGACATGTTTTTTCAAGTTAGAACTCCGGAGTAGTCATAAATACAATAATGATACTCCTTGTATGTAACGGAAGCACAACACGAGGAAAGGGGTATAGTATGATACTAGCATGATCCACGGGCCTGAAGATAAAGAAGGAAAGCATGAAGAGAAAAGTACTAGTGGACAGAGATAGGCCAATTGGATAGTACTGGATAACGGTATTGCAGTAAAGAGGATTGCGAATAAGATAAAGGCAAGACTGTTTATTAGTTTGCCCGGTGTGTAGGACTCCCAATTCATGGCGACGGATGAACGAAGCGGCTGCTGCATGACGGTGTAAGGCGAACACGCCGGAGCGCTTTTGGGAGGGGATCGAGATACTATTATCTCGATAGAATAGTTGCCAAAGCTATAAAATGCAGTTAATGTCGTTTCAGGTTTGCGCAAAATCTGAAAAAGCGACCGTAAACGCGTTCAAGCTAACAATGGGACTGATAGAAACACAGAACAATTAGTGATCGGCGGTGTACTGAGTTCTTCGACTCACTAACTCAGAGGTCTTTCCGCAAAAAGCAAAAGATTGCCGCATCAACGTTGCCCTGGAAGATCATGGGAATGGAGGAGTCCACATTCTCAAGTGGTGCCTTCGGAGTGATGGACCATTGGCTGAGCAGCATCGAGACCATCGTTGTTCCCCTCCACGAGAAATGGGCGGTGCTCCACATTGTTCTTGGAATTTATTTTCTTTTCCCAATATATCAGAGGTATTCTCGGCCAGGAAGATAAACAGACCTTGGACTTCCATTGCTTTCCCCAACGCAGATAGTGTTAGTCGATACGTTTTACTCAAACGTTTCGACTTTGCTAGAAGCGGGAGGCGAAGAGTTGTCCTAAAATAGTCGACACCTTCGAGGCTTCCACTTTGCATCATTATGGTTTGCTGAGGACCTATAAGTTCCTTGCCCTTCCAACCCCACATCCATCGATTTTCGAGAACGATTTGAAACGGGCGAGGCTTTTCCAAGACAAGATTATGAAGGTGAACAGACGCGGAGATAATGTGCCACTTGCAAATATCGAAATTGGGAATGGAAGGCGGCCAGAGCGACAGTCGTGCTCGACTTGCAGCGCAGCCAGAATGAGGCGGTGTCGTGGTCCCAGTTCGTCGTGAGTAGAGCCTCCAAGTGATCGACGTGGTTAGAGTGAGAATTAGACTTGCTTTGCTGTTAGAGCAGTTGGTAGAGGATTCGAATACCGCACCATATGGTTAGAAAATCGGGCAGGGCCGTCCTCTCCGCGCATCCCAGTGGAAGGGGTAACCTGGGTATGTGGGGTGGTAAGAGCACGTGGTCCCTACATGGTTGGCCGAACGGGCCCAGGTGCCTTTCTTGTAAACGCGTGGCCCTCAAAAAGACCGGCCTAACGAAAGAGTTCAGCTCCCTCATGCTTGCGGAAACATTGACCACTGTTACCGTAGTAGCCGTCATAGGGCCTAGCGCCGAGTGATGGAGTCCATTGAATCCAATGAGATGCTCGGTCACCGGTAGCGGCACCTGAGCAACCTCAGGCTCTGTCCGCCAACGTTTGGAGTGCGGGCGAAAACCAGACGCCGGATAAGATGGCGGCGACTGCCGCAAACACTTAGTTGGAAAAGGTATGTATGGTGGAGTTACGCACAGTCTGTCCATCTGGTTGGTCGGTCATGGGGGTCAAGAGCAAAAAGGAATGAGTCATTTTGATGAGTCAGCACTGTTACGATGTTTGACTGACCGGGAAACTTGATTGAATCTTGTGCTGCAATGTGCATGAGACTTTTTTTTTGCCTGCTTACACAGTACTTCCATTTCCGATGACCGAACTTTCCCAGGTTCAAGTTGCAGCCTAATTTAAAAGTGTATTTTTTCGGACTAACAACTTGAACTCATGATCACCAACAAGTGAGTGTACTAAGTGGTAGCTATACCCGTCACGGTTTATATATACTTAGCAATCATAGCGGGCCTTGTACTCAAAGTTCCACTTGACGTCGACCGGCGGACAACTTGAAGGAGGATGTCGACTCGGACGCAGAGCTACGTGTCGCCAATACTCAGGCTCCAACAAGAGTCAAGTTGTCGGGGTCCCATATCCTCCCGAACGAAAAACCGGCGGATCTCCGCCGTTCCGGATCGACAGATCCGATCGCGACCAGGATCGTGCGACCCCCAAAAAACAATTAGCGGTGAGAAGACCTCGAAGCACTCACTGAGAACGGAACTCGACCAGCTCCGCACGTTCATGAAGCCTTGGCAGACAATAAACGTAACAAGACATAAAGTCAATTAGAGAAATATCAGTATATGCAGC